GAATTTATGAATTTATGAATTTATGAATTTATGAATTTACGAATTTACGAATTTACGAATTTACGAATTTACGAATTTACGAATTTATGAATTTATGAATTTACGAATTTATGAATTTATGAATTTATGAATTTGAGAATTTATGAATTTGAGAATTTATGAATTTGAGAATTTATGAATTTGAGAATTTATGAATTTATGAATTTTTGATGAGTTTCTGAGTTTCGGAATTTCTGAACTTCTGAGTTTCTGAATTTCTGAACTTCTGAGTTTCTGAATTTCTGAATTTCTGAACTTCTGAGTTTCTGAATTTCTGAGTTTCTGAATTTACGAATTTACGAAACCACAAAACCATGAAGCAACGGAATTGAATTTCGGGGGAAAGGGCTTAAAATCAAAAACTTTAGGATCTTAACGCTTCAAACTCACGAGACTCAATCTCAAAACGACGGCAAAACGTGGAAAATTTTCGAAATTTGAAAACGCGAATCCAAGGAATTAAATCTCAGAGAAAAGGCTTAAAGTCAAAAGCTTTCCGATCTTAGCCATTCAAAGCCAACGGATTCACTCCCAAAATGACGAAAAAGGTGGAAAACTTTCGAAATTTGAAAAACGCAAGGCCAAGAGATTGAACCTCAGGGAAAGGGCTTAAAATCAAAAATTTTGGGATCTCAGCGCTTCAAACTCCCGAGCCTCAATCTCAAAACGGCGACAAAATGTGGAAAATTTTCGAAATTTGAAAAACGCGAAGCCAAGGGCAAGGCGTTAAATTTCAAAGAAAGGGCCTAAAGTCAAAAGCTTTTGGGATCTTAGCGCTTCAAACTCACGGGATTCACTCCCAAAACGACGAAAAACGTGGAAAATTGTCGAAATTGGAAAAACGCGAAGCCAAGAGATTGAATCTCAGGGAAAGGCCTTAAAATCAAAAATTTTGGGACTTTAGCACTTCAAACACACAGAATTCAACCCCAAAACGACAACAAAATGTGGAAAATTTTCGAAATTTGAAAAATCATGGAAATCCAAGAGGCTGAACCTCAGGCCAGGGAAAGCGCTGAAAGTCAAAAGCTTTAGGACTTTAGCGCTTCAAACGCACAAAATTCAATCCCAAAACGACAAAAAAACGTGGAGAATTTTCGAAATTTGAAGAATGCAAATCCAAGAAGTTGAATTCCAGCGGAAGGGCTTAAAGTCGAAAAGTTTTGGGATCTTAGCACTTGACTTCAAACGCACGAGATCCAATCCGCAAACGATGGCAAAACGTGGAAAATTTTCGAAATTTGAAAACGCGTATCGCTTACGTCTTTGCCTTGCTTAGTTTCTTACTTTGGGGAGGAGGGGGATCCTAGTGGGAGGGATGTTATCGGACGCTCCAAGCTAGTAATACTTATACTCTGTGGTGTTCCTATTCGGCCTTAAGTAGATGGCACTCTAACTTCCTGAATCAATCATGAGCTCACAAATTCACAATATACCCACGCATCAACACGGACGACAAGGAAATCCATCAGATGAAACAAAATCAGTCACAACACACCCTTTTCATTGATAGATAGAATATTGTGTCAGTCGTTATACTGGATCCGCTCCTAAAAATTCAATGAATAAAGTTTCTTCTGCTCTTGCAATACTTCCGTATTGCGGTTGGCTGGTTCTCTTACTTTTGCGCAAAAGGCATGTAATTGAGTGTGCGCCATCCTGTTTGAGGTTAAGAGAGAAATGCTTCGAAAGCAACGACCACGTGCATTTTGACAGAATGCTAAATAAGAGTCTCCATTGTCCCGTCAGTCTCTCGCTTAAAGCAAAACATTTTCAATCATCATTCTCAAAATCGATAATGATAGATTTGATCTTCGTAAGCTTAACCAAAGAGTAAGAGAAAAAGTCGTTTTTAACTTTCTCCCTACCTCGTTCTTCGCAATTTGCGGGAGACTACGCTCCACCTACTCCTCTCTCACTCTCTCTCAGGAACGCATCTGGTAGGCGTAGGAGAAGTTGGAGCTGCTTCATCCATATTTTGATAATTGAATGATGAGGTGAATCTATTCGGCAGTCTGCCGAAGATTTCGATGACGATTTCAATGTCTTATCTATCATCTACATTAATTTTCGCAGCAGCTGGCACGAAAAGTATGTAGAGAATGAAGAAAATGCAGCTGTCGTCTTTACTCGCTCAATCTCTAGAAAGTGAAAGTAGCACTAAGCAAACAAGCAACAACAAGGGTTCATCAGTTGCAAGCGTTGCAGTGACTCCTACATCGAACAAATTTTTCACCACTCTCTCCTCGCTCTCGCTCGTAGTGCATGCCTACATACATGGAGCAGCTACTGAACACATCACAGACAAAAATAGGACACAATATTTCGGCGCTGCAGAAGCGGCCACACATGGTGACCGTGACCACGCCTTGGATAATTACATGTTGTCATACATCGAATTATATGAAGCAAGCAGCTGTTACCATGATCAAGTAAGTAGCTTCTCGTCCTGTAATTCCGTCAGGTCTCAGGTTTCTCGCTGGGTAGTTTGACGTTTGTCCATCATCCCTTGTTCATCTACTCATGCACTATTATATATAATCTTTGTATGTCCAAGCGGAATAATACGTTCATCCCGTGCAAGTAAAAAAGAATCCTTCTGCTAGCAGGCCGTCGAAGAGCAACCGCATCTCCACCACCTCTAGGTTCTCCCTGTCCAAACAAGCATAAGCATCTTTAACCCCCACGATGAAAAACACCAAGCACAAGGCAGGCACCGAAAGGAAAAGATCAAATTCAAAACTTCCCCTCTGTGCGATCGGTGATGAATTTTCGTCGAATGTTGTTCCGCTCGTAGATTTTCCCGATGTCGAACTGCATATCCGTACGGAATTGGTCCAAGAACGACTGGGCCTCCCGTACCATTTTTTGCTGCGCCGCCTTGCGCTCGGCCTCTTCGACCTGTGTCGTAATAGTTGTAAGCAAGATGAAATTCGACGAGAGAAAATCTCGTCGTCCTCGTCTTTTCTGGTACTCGTACTGATACTACACTTTATTACAATTTTTCACGACAGTATTCAATTCATCGCATAACATGGAGAAATTAAACAAGAGAGAGAGAGAAAGAAAGAACTACAAGAACTAGATGAAATCGCAACTGAAACTTTTACCTGCAGATCCAAATTGAGCTCGCGGTAGACATGCCGGGTTTCGTCTTCGAGCACATCCTCTTTCTCATGCAACATGGTATAGAAGTCAAGGCATCTTTTAATATCGGCAGAGCATTGCTCCTGGCGCTCTTCGGTCTCCCTGGCAAGGGTGCGATGCAACCGGCTCGGATATGAAAAATGTACATCTACAGGTAAAAAAGTCTTTTTCTCCTTATATTTTGTGCGACTTTTTTCTAAGTTGTGAACTACCCTCATGTTCTTTATCCGTATCTTAATCTATTTGCTATCGTTTGTATCAATGCAATTCCTGATAACGTTGAGATAGAGTATCATACTCAAATAATACACGGCCACCGGTTACAGACTTAATGCATACAAAGCATAGTACTTGTCTTGCAACAATTATTATAAGTTGATAGATAAAAAACATAACAAAAAAAAAATCTAACATTATTAATCTCGAACATTATTAATCTCGAACATTATTAATCTCGAACATTATTAATCTCGAACATTATTAATCTCGAACATTATTAATCTC